GAGGGAGAGAATCGTAAGCAGGCTCCATGCTGTCAGCACAGAGCCTCATGGAGGGATCAATTTCACAAACTGTGAGATCATGACCTGAGCCAAAATCAAGAGTTGGATGCTCAACCTACTGAGCCACCCAGGCACTCCCCCCATCCCTATTTTAAAGTCACTTAAAAGAATTCTCCTTGTGGTTATGTTTTCAGTGTGTTATACAATGAGGCCAAGTTGTTTGACTACATTTGACTTGATTTGGTGTTGTGATTATATAAAACATGTACATCATTCCAAAATCAAAACTGTAAACAAGTTCCATTCAGAGAGGTCTAGCTTTTGTACCTTCTCCTTCCCCTTAATCTCTCCTTCCTCTTTTGCTAAGTATCTGCACTTGTTTTTTGTTTATCCTTCCATTGTTATCTTTTTTGAAAATAAGAAAATACATATAAGTATCAAAACTTTCACATAACAATATATCCGATAGCTGGCTCCATAGCAGTAGCAGATTTTCAGGGAGGTTTGTTTTTGTTTGGTCTTTGAGAGAGAGACATTTGTATGCTGATGGGAAAGGTACTGTGGAGGGGAAAAAATGACCCCAGAAGAAAGAAGGGACTTGTAGTGTGCAAGTAGGGAGAGGGGTTGGCCCCTGCACCAGTGAAGAAGCCAGGGTCTGGGAGCACCTGTAGATGCAAGCAGATGGGCATGTAGGAAGATGAGGAAGTTCTCTGAGTACTGTACTTCTGTTTTCTATTTACTTTGAAATAAAAGTGATCATTGGGCAGGACTGGGGCAGGAGAGGGGGTTGTTGGCACTTTGAGAAGAGGGAAGGTATGAAAAAGTACTTTCAAAGAACAGGAGAATGAACTGACTGAGGCAACGGTTGTCAAACGTCAGCATCAGAATCACACAGCTTTGCTGGCTTCCATGCCCAGAGTTATGGATTCATAAGGTCTGGGGTGAGGTCAAGAACATGCATTTCTAATGAGTTCTTGAGTGATGTTGATGCTACTGGTCTGGAAGCCATGTTCTGAGAACCACCACACTAAGGAAATACAGCAGGACTGGTGGCAACACAGGAGCCCACTTGAAGTTTGTGGTCATGAACGTGAAGAGAGACCCATCAACATGACTGCGTGTTTGTACCTAGTAGTCTTCATGTTAACCAGCAAGGTTCAGGTCTGGAGTAGGTGGTGGGCTGAACTTAACCAGGGTTGGGACTTAGATAAAGAGAAGATGGTGGTAATCAGTGATAGATGGTACCAGACAAATGTATCCATTTATTTATGCTTTTCTGTATATAAATAACTGGCTAAGATACCAACAAAGGAGGAAGAGGAAACAGAGACAGAAAGTAGAAAGCTCAGAATGAATAGGAAAAAGCTCATGTAAAGGAAGAACTAGAAAAAGATTACAGATCTTCCTCAATATACAATGGGGTTATGTCCTTATAAACCCATCATAAGTTGAAAATATCATTAAGTTGAGAGGTGCCTGGGTTGACTTGGTCGGATGGGCGTTCAACTTCAGCTCAGGTCATGATCTCACGGTTCGTGGGTTCGCACCAGGCTCTGTGATGACAGCTTGGAGCCTAGATCCTGCTTCAGATTTTGTGCCTCCCTCTCTCTCTGCCCTTCCCCCACTCACACTTTGTCTGTCTCTGTCTCTCTCTCTCTCAAAAACAAACATTAAAAGAAAAGAATATATCATAAGTTGAAAATGGCATTTAATACACCTAATCTCCCAAATCCCATAGTTTAGCCTAGCCTACTTTAAACATGCTCAGAACGCTTACGTTAGCCTCCAGTTGGGCAAACTCATCTATCACAAAGCATATTTTATAACAATGCGCTAAATATCTCATGTAATTTATTGAATACTATATCCAAAGCGAAAAAGAGAATGCTTGCATGGGTATACAATGGTTGTAAGCGTATCGGTTGTGGAGTCTCGAGACAGTATGGCCAACCAGGAGCTGCAGCTCACCGCCACTGCCGGCAACACTGCTGGCGCCACATATCGCTTGTCTGGGAAAAGATCAAAATTTGAAGTGCGGTTTCTGCTGAGCACGCATGGTTTTTGCACCACTGCAAAGCCGAAAAATCTGAAGTTGAACCACTGTAAGTTGGGGACCGTATGTGCACTGAAATCTGGTCATAGTAAGGCCACCAGGGCACTGAAGATGAAAACAGGGTTAGTATTTTGAAATGGGAGGCTTAGGTGTGGAAAGGTTGCTAGTATAATATAAAAAGATTTATGCTAGATTTAGTGAAATAGAATGCTAATAGATAAACACCTATTTAAGTCATAAAAAAAATTCTGCCAAAATATATTTGCATAGCCACGCTTACTGAAGCTTTATTCACAATAGCCAAGAGGTGGAAGCAACTCAAATGTCCACTGACAGATGCATGGATAAAGAAAATGCGAGAGATACACACATGCAATGGAACATTACTCAGCTTGAGAAAGAAGGCGGTCCTGTCACATGCTATGACATGGGGGAACCTCGAGAATATTATGCTAAACGAAAAAAGCCAGTCATAAAAGAATGAAATACAGTATCATTTCACTCAAATGAATGATCTATATTAGTGAAAATCATATAAAATAGAAAAGTAATTGCCAAGGGCAGGGAAAGGGAATTAGTATTTAGTGATGACAGAGTTTCAGTTTTGCATGATGAAAAGTTTCAGAGATCTGCTGCACAACAATATAAATATACTTAACAGTATTGGATTGTATGTTTAAAAATTGTTAAGATAGCAAGTTTAATATTACACTTTTTTTTTAACCGCACACACATGAAATTCCTGCCCGACCAACACAGTAATCTTCCTTCTCAGGAGTTCTAAGGGGGAAGTAAAAGCTACAAAGTATTTTCATTCTAGAATTTAAAAATATTCTGTCCAATGTGTTATAACAAAGCAAAAGCTCTGGAGAATACGGGTTCAGAAGCATGTAAGTACCCAGATATAATTAGAATGTTAGATAAAGCCCAGTGAGTTAAATGTTATTTAGCATAAGTAAAGCTGCACGGTGACAATTATGGGGAGGATAAAAACTAATCTTTCGTTTCAGATGACAACAAAAAAAGGGAAATGCCACGAAACTGCAAGGCCAGCAGTTACAGAGATAGACAGTCATTAAATATTGGATTGGGACCAAAACAAAAACTGCAGAATTCCTTCATTATTTTCTGTAGAAGATAGGAGATATGTCAATTTACTTGGGAGAGTCTGTCACAGTGATAAAAAGGGGAGAATACGATCCCAAATCTCATCTCGTCCAAAATTGTAAGACTGTTTTAGAAAATAAATCCAAGATCTTCAGGGTATGCATGAAAATACACTAAAATAATGTACAGGTCAAATAAAAGTTGAAAAAAAACTCAAAACTTAAAAAAAAAGAATAAAATAATTCGTTACTGATGTTAGGAGAATTCAATACGGGAACGCCATTTTCTGTGAATAGCTTAATTTCTAAAGTGAATCCTGAAAGAAACAGCAAATGCAATGCATATTATGCATCACTTATTAGGAAAAACAGAAAATGTGTATTTCTGCTTAGAATTCATAAAACTTCTTTATCTGGGGAGGATAAGGGAAAACTTCCTACAACTGCCAAGGTGAAAGGTATGCATAGAAAAAATCTTCTAAAGGAATGTTGACTGACCTTAAACATGAAGTTGCTGCATGCTGGTGGGCTGGCTTTTTTTTTTTTTTTCTTTGTTAACATTTCTACAAGGACTCAGAGGGGTATCATATCGAAAAAAGAAAGAAAAGGGGTGGTGGTGGTGGGGAAACAGCCTGATTACCACATGCAAATATATAAAAAGACAACCTCAACCAAGTGAACCACCACCGGATGGAGAACCCAGCTGACACATAAAGAAGAGTCTCTGTGTTTAGGGAAGCTTGGGGCTCTGCTCCTTTACTGCAAGAGAGCCTGAACTGTGAGTACTCGTTGATTTCAGTTATAGAAATGATCCATTATTTCAGTTAAAATTTGATTCTCTGAATATTAAAAGTGAAAGCGGCTTCGTGGTGACTAGGACCACTTTGCTTTCTGGAGCCCTGAGTAAGGTGCTCGAATGAGACCCCTGCCTTGGTTTGACTTAAAATGAGGCTGTCTTCTTAGTTACTTGAAGTACTTGAGGACACTGCAGGGACTGAAGCTCATCTATCGATGCGATCACACTGCTTTACACTGTCTTTTGCATTCTGCCATAAAGACCTGCAGAGCCACTTGAGTTGACTGAAAGTTATTTTCATAAGCAACCAATTTTATTTCCAATGTGGTAGAAGTGATCTATCACTTATTAACGTTATGGTTATGCTGACTCTCTAGTTTCAATGGTTGTACTTTACTGTTAAATTTATAGCAAAATCGAATGTACTACTAATTGTATTATTTCCTAAGCAACATGCTTTTGATTTTTATTCTGTATGCAGCAATTAGTGCAATTTTTTGAAGCATGGCCTGAGGGATCCGGTCACTATCAAGTCAAACTACAAACAGTGAAAGGTTGCTACTATTGCCAAATAGGTATGTATTTTAACAGAGCGATGTGATGTTTTCACAAACGTACCCAGAATGCATTTAAAAAGTTTTTGCTCGGATTGCCTGGCTGGCTCAGTCACAAGAGCATGCAACTCTTCATCTCAGGTTTGTGAGTTCGAGATCCATGTTGGGTGTAGAGATTACTTAAATAAATGCAAAATTAAAAAGAAAAGAAAAAGCTCTTGCTTATTCGAGGCCACCGCGGAATCCGTAGGGTGCTGCCCTCCAGTACAGAAGCTCCTACGTGAGCCAGATGAAGACTATCGGAAGGGGGTGGTGGTACCGGCTACAAATGCAGCACTAACACAGCATGGCAAGCTTCAGGATTTGTCAAGTAACAACACTTAAAAAACCTTTACCATCTACTATCAGGAAACCATTGTGACTTCAATATAGCACAGGAGTCTCAATGCCCACTGGGAAATTAGTCCACTATGTGAACACAGTGGTCTGTTTCTTGTCCTCACTGGCCATTCTTATCAAATAAGTAGTTTTTAATACATCAACAGATGGCCTTAAGAATAGTGAGTGACGGACACACTGAAAGGAGGCAAACATCAGCCATTAAGTGTAAAACAGAATCTAATCTGTTAATTTGTTAATAGATGACTAGACACTAGCCATCTAATACATGGTTCTAAATGATGGCTACTATTACTATTTAAACAAATGCATTGCTTTTGCTTTATTTTCTCTTTTTTTTTTAATGTTTATTTATTTTTGAGAGACAGAGAGCGCGAGCGGGGGAGGGGCAGAGAGAGAGACAGACAGACAGACAGACACAGAATCTGAAGCAGGCTCCAGGCTCCAAACTGTCAACACAGAGCCCAACATGGGGCTCGAACTCACAAGCCATGAGATGATAACCTGAGCCGAAGTCAAACGCTCAACCATCTGAGCCACCTAGGCGCCCAATTTATTTTCTCTTTTTTTAAAAAATGTTTACTTAGGGGCGCCTGGGTGGCGCAGTCGGTTAAGCGTCCGACTTCAGCCAGGTCACGATCTCACCCTCTGTGAGTTCGAGCCCCGCGTCGGGCTCTGGGCTGATGGCTCAGAGCCTGGAGCCTGTTTCCGATTCTGTGTCTCCCTCTCTCTCTGCCCCTCCCCCATTCATGCTCTGTCTCTCTCTGTCCCAAAAATAAATAAACGTTGAAAAAAAAAATGTTTACTTATTTTGAGAGACAGCAAGAGCATGCATGCATGCATGGGGAGGGGCAGAGAGAGAAAGAGAGAAAATCCCAAGCAGGCCCCCCCACTGTCATCGCAGAGCCCAGACGTGGGGCTCAATTCCATGAACTGTGAGATCATGACCTGAGTTGAAATCAAGAGCTGGACTCTCAATCAACTGAGCCATCCAGGCTCCCCTTACTTTATTTTCTTTAGGCTTGAAAATAAAGCAAAACCAGAAAGGTTTTTGTGCTAACAGCTTTCTAGAAACATCCTGATTATGGCTTTCAGGCCTAGAAGTAAGTTTGAAACTAAACATTCTGGTGAATGATTTGTGATTCTGTAAACTCTGGACTTCTTTACTTACTCTAATGGACAGGGCAAATGAAAAGATTAATACCTTTTTCCAAAAAAGTAAAGCTAGAAGGTATAGCCTCTTCTTAAAATTGCTAATGTGAGGGGCACCTGGCTGGCTCAGTCAGTAGAACATGTGACTTTTGATCTTGGGGTTGTGAGTTCAAGCCCCACCCTGGGTATAACGATTACTTAAAAAAATAAAATCTTTAAGGGGTGTCTGGCTGCTCAGTCGGTGGAACATATGACTCTTGATCTTGGGGTTGTGACTATGAGCCCCACAATGGGTGTAGTGATTACTTAAAAAAAAAAATCTTAAAAAAATTGCCAACGTGGATAATGTTGAAGGAATCATGTCTAAATACTGCTGACAGAACTCAGAATTAAAAAAGAAAATGCTGTTCATATGTGATCAGGAGGAGTGAGGTTTAGGGATCATGGACCCTAAAAGGTAGGCAGATCTGAGTCCCAGCTTGGGTACTGCCGTTTAAAGAATTGTGTGGTCATGAGTAAAGTTCACAACCTCTTGATTTCTTTCTCATTGTCTCTTTTGTAATACCTACCTCACAAGTTTAATATAAGGATTATGTACATGAATATAAATGTGCTTAACACACTGCCTGGTACACAGCAACTGCTAAATAAATATTAGTTAATGGGTCAGCCATCTAGCTCAAGGGTTCAATTCTCGATGCACATTAGAATCCCCTGAGGAGCTTTTAAAGGAAACCATTGCCTGGAGCCCATTCCAGATCAATTAAATCAGAAGATCTGGGGCTGGAGCCAGGGAGTGGTATCTTTAAAAAGCTCTCCAAGGGGTTCTAATATGCAGCTCAGGATTGAGAGCCACTGACAGTCTCTTCTATATCTCCAGGGTAAGGTGCCTACTTCCTTCAGCTCGCTCCTATAACATAATTTGGGCTTTTCTCCCCATGTGGTCTGTGGCAGTTTCTAAGTGTGATGTTAGGATGAAATGGCTGTATTCCAGTTCAGGACTAGTAGTGACAACCTTCAGGTTAGTGGTGACAATCTCCACTTAAGACATTCCATATCTGTGAATTCAATCAAAGAAGGGGGTTAGTTTTTGCTGTAGGCGCATCATACTACCAACCCAGCAACCTCGGTCAAATGCAATTTTCTTAATGCAGTCAAAGCTCTTCCTGTACTTGAACAGCTGATTTTGCGGTCCACATGTAGAACTCCACCTGCTTTTCTACTAAATTCCCTCTTTCATTCAGCAATATTTATTGTGCTAAGCACTTGCTACACAGAGGCAAACAAACAAAAAAAAGACTTGGTTCCCAATCCTAATGGAGTTTAAGATCTGGCATGGAAGAAGGAAAAAAAAAAAAAAAAGAACTACTTACAGATGAGTTTTTATAGGCATTTTGGCTATCTGAGCTCTTAAAGTCATGTCACTTGCCATCAAATTCCCTTTCATCAGTGGCCATGGGAGGTTTCTACCCAAGCTGCAGCAAGCTTCCCACCTAACCATACAATGCAAATTCCTCCTTTAGGCACCCTTTTCCTCTTCCTGGTAATCTAGATTGCATTATCGGCTTCCATTCTTCCTAGATTGCCCTTTCCTTTTAGAATTTCTGATCACCAGATACATGCATGTAAGTTTATAAACTTTGCTGAAATTGGTTCCTGCAGTTGAGACACAGGACAGACTAGACTGGGTCCGCCTGCCTCCCTCCCTCCACTGACCTGAACTGTGGAGGCAGGCTCTTCTTACCAGAGATAGATTACATAACTTCCTCTTCACCAGCCAGTTCTTCTTCCCTGGAATCAATTTTCCCTCTTTAGCAAAATTTTAAACTGGAATTTTACCCTCGACTATATGGTTTCTTCTTGATCAAATTATAGGTAGAATATTAAGAAAGGCTAAGTTCTTCCAAATGTATTTCTCTACGTACCATGTCACATCCAGAAGTTATTTTCATTCAATTCCACTTTACAATATAGCATTCAGAATTTGAATGTGCATGCCTACAAAAATGTTTCCTGAGAGCAGGATCTTGGACTTGTTCACTTTTGGTTTCCATGCAGTACTTAGCCGTGTATGAAATATTTACTAAAATGAGATTAGTCCAAAGGTGTTTTTATATATATAAATTTTAGAGAGAGAGAGAGTGTGTGAATGGGGGAGAGTGGGGGGGGGGGGGGAGAGAGAATGCATGTGCATGAGCAGGGGAGAGGGGCACAGGGAGAGAGAATCTTAAGCAGGCTCCATGCTCAGCTCAGAGCCTGATGCAGGGCTTGATTCCATGACCCTAGGACCATGACCTGAGCTGAGATCAAGAGTTTGAGGTTCAACCAACTGAGCCACTCAGGCATCCCCCAAAAGTGGTTTTTAAATTTTTTTTTAATTTTTTAAATGTTTATTTATTTTTGAGAGAGAGAGAGAGAGAGAGAGAGAGAGAGAGAGAGAGAGAGAGAGAAAGACACAGAATCCGAAGCAGGCTCCAGGCTCCTAGCTGTCAGCACAGAGCCTGACACAGGGCTTGAACTCACAAACTCAGTTCGTGACCAGAGCCGAAGTTGGATATTCAACTGACTGAGCGAGACACTCAGGCACCCAGGTGTTTTGTTTTTTTTAAAACTAATTTTCATTGAGTACTTTTATGTGCCCGGGGTTAAGTTCTTCATACACATTATGCATTTCTACAGATGAGAAACCTGAAGCTTAGAAAAGATGAATTGGTGTGACCAAGGTCACAGAGTTAGTCAGGTCTGATTTTGGTAACCTTGCTCGGAATGTCTTTGTGTTACACCTGCTAAGATGCTGCTGTAGAGAAATGGGGCAGTCACTCTGAGACCTCCTGGGACCCTCTCTTCATGTCTTCTAGCTCCTTATGATGGCCTCTCAGACTGAGGGCTTCATTGCACTCAATGCCCAGGAAGGAGCCAAGAATAGGTGGCGCTGCTAACATTCTCTGCTGCGGCAAACAAGTGGAATTCACACACACTCTTATAAGGTTCGAGCGACAGTTGCAAATGACCTAACCTGGGGCATAGTAAGCTGCAGTTAGTTGTTTCAGAATCTTGGAATGCACATCGTGCTTCCCATCTGTACTATCACTCTATGCTTCCGGGTCAGGAGACCGTCTGTCTCAACTAACTGGCAGCCTTTGCCACCCGGCTTGGTTTTGTTTGGCTACCTTGTTACAAGAGTCTGTCTGAGGGGGCAGGTGTTCTGCTCTCTTGGGTCTGCATAGCTCGCAGGCAAATGATTTTAATACGCCCAACTTGGTCTTAGCTTGAAAAGGAAGAAATTTAGGACTCTTTCTTCTATTCCCCCCCGGAATGGAAGACTGCCACAGTTTATGTCATATGCTGTGTGGCAATCCTTGCCCAAATGAACGGATACCAGACACAAGGGAAGAAGTTAAGGCAGGGAGCTGGGCAGGGGTCAGCAGTGGGCCCAGCTCACTCATGGCTGTAACTACCTTTCGGGAAATGGACCCTTATCTTTGAACAATATGAGCTGTCATTTCTCCATACGTCTGTCTCTATTCCCATAACAAACTCCATACGGCAAGTTAAATAAAACAAACCTTGAACATATACCACAGCCATAGGAAAGGTTAGAGCAGGACATTCCCTAAGACTCTAGTACACTTACTGCTTGAGCTGTGGTACCATGCTGCTGCTACATACATAGTGCAGATACTCAAAGTTTCTCCCATCTGAAAATATATCGCTTATTATTTGTGCTTAAAGAAACTTATTAAAATGGCAAATAACTCAATGCTGCTTTCCCTTGTAGGAAAATTCTGAAGATACCAAAGCTACACACAAGGAACACGTCATTTAGCACCTTCACTTTTTGATCCCTACACCAGACAATGAGAAGTCACGCCGTAACAATGCCAACCACTTCGGCCTACAGCTGGCCTTGGTCCTCTCAGGGAGTGAACTTTACAGCTAATCACAGCATCCCAACGCCACACACCATGTCAGGAACATCAGATACTGACTGTGTCATGGATGAGAAACTGCTCTCTAGCGTGTTAACAGTATCTTTCTCTGTTATTTTCATCATGGGACTGGTTGGAAACATAATCGCCCTCTATGTATTTCTGGGTATCCACCGCAAGAGAAACTCCATTCAGATTTACCTACTGAATGTAGCCATTGCAGATCTCTTACTGATCTTCTGCCTGCCTTTCCGCATAATGTATCACATTAACCAGAACAAGTGGACACTCAATATGATCCTTTGCAGGGCTGTGGGAACACTATTTTATATGAACATGTACATTAGCATTATTTTGCTTGGATTCATCAGTTTGGATCGCTACATAAAAATCAATCGGTCTATACAACAACGGAAGGCAGTAACAACCAAACAAAGTATTTATGTTTGCTGTATAGTATGGACAGTTGCTCTTGCTGGATTTCTAGCTATGATTATATTAGCCCCTAAGAAAGAAGGCCATGATTCCAATAATTCCACAATGTGCTTCCATTATAGAGAGAGGACGAATGCCAAGGGAGAAGCAATTTTTAACCTCATTCTTGTGGTAATGTTCTGGCTAATTTTCTTACTAATAATCCTTTCATATATTAAGATCGGCAAGAATCTACTGAGGATTTCTAAAAGGAGGTCCAAATTTCCCAACTCTGGTAAATATGCCACCACAGCTCGGAATTCCTTTATTGTACTCATCATTTTTACTATATGTTTTGTTCCATATCATGCCTTCCGATTTGTCTATATTTTTTCACAGCTAAACAATCCACCTTGCTATTGGAAGGAAATAGTTCACAAAACCAACGAGATCATGCTGGTCTTCTCGTCTTTCAATAGTTGCTTAGACCCAGTCATGTATTTCCTGATGTCCAGTAACATCCGCAAAATAATGTGCCAGCTTCTTTCTAGACGCTTTCAAGGGGAAGCGAGCAGAAGTGAAAGCACGTCAGAATTTAAACCAGGGTACTCCCTGCATGATACATCTGCTGCAGCTAAAATTCAGTCTCCTTCTTAAATCACTTGAAGTAAACACATTAAAAAGAATGAGAAAATACAACATCTTAATACTTTGAAGAACTAAAACCTATGAAACAAAGCTCTAGCATTTGCAAAGCTCAGATCTGCTCAAAGCTTGTTGCATATTTGTGATATTTCATTTGCTTAGTTGTAAAATATTTCAAGGGCAAGAGAAGCTTATACTCATCACTAGATTTTAAATCTGTATGTAAAATCTTTTTATAGAGTTAAGTCAAATTTGTAGTTTTAACAACAGAATTAAAATATCATACTTTCTCAAGTCACTAAAGTAGTTACTCAAAATTAAGCACTTAATATTAGAGTGTGTTTCAAAGGTAAATGATTTGGAGGCACGTGGATGGCTCAGTCAGTTAAACGTCTGGTCACGATTTATTTTGAGAGAGAGACAGAGTGCACAAGTGGGGAAGGGGGGAGGAAGAGAATCCCCCCTTCCCCACTTGTGCACTCTGTCTCTCTCTCTCTCAAAATAAATAAAGTTTTTTTAAAAAAGATAAATGATTTGAGGACCAACAACATGTCAGAAAATATGTTCTTTGTCATTTAAAAAGCCTGTATAATTTGCTAGTGTATTCATTTATGCCTGAACCTCCATAATAGATGACATAATAAAATTCTACTTAAAAATTAAAAACATTTATTATCTATCACTGCTTAGATAAAATAGAATTTAAATACTGTACAATAAAATCAAAGAACAGATAAGCTAAGAATTTGATAGCCTAGCAATAGGACTTAAACCCCCACCTTCCTTAAAGCAGATTTATGAATGACTCTGCCATCTTGGGCCACACTTTACTGGAGTAAAATTGAAGATATGCACACCTTATGATCCATCAAGTCTGCTACTAGGTATACATTGGACAGAACGACTCAAGCATGTTCACAAAAAAACATACATAATCATGCTCAGTGAACTACTAGTTCATAACATCAAAAGCTTGGAAACGACCTAAGTTGAGTATGCATCAGCAAAGCAATGGAGAAATACACTGTGGCTTATTCACAAAAGGGAGTATTACCCAGTGCTTCAAGGAACTACACCTGCATGCATCAACATGGAGAATCAACAAAAAACAATGTTGAATAAAAAACACCCTCCCCAGACCCCAACTGCAAAAAGGGTATATACCATGTGAAATCATTTATGTAAAACACAAAAACACATAAAATACCACATTATTTATGGATCTATAGATACGTAACAACAAAATGTGCATAATATACACAACATAACACACCAACTTAAGGTTAATGGTTGCAGCTGGAGAGATTTGAAGCCAACATGGCAAAATGTTAATGTCTGTTAAGCCTCTGTGATAGTACTTGGGTATCTGTCATATTATTTTTGGCATATTGCTGAGTGTTTGAAATATTTTATAAGAAAACAAAATTATAGATTAGAATTAAAGGAAGCAAGTTCTGAAATTTTCGTGTATGCTCAAAACTAACTGGAGACTAAGCTCCAAGAGAAAGGGGTCTTATTTATCAAAAGGGCTCCTGGGAGATTAGTGTTTTGCAAGCCACACTGAGAGGTATCTGCTGAATAAATGAATGAGTGGATGAATGAGACAAGGAGGGAGGGAAGGGGTGCTTAACAGAATTGAAAATGTGGGTGTATTTCGTTTTTTTCTTGTTTGGTGTATCTGGATATAACTGCACAGAGCATCATACAATTGGAATCAGGAGATGTCATTAAAGGAAGCATTCTTAAAAGTTTGTCCAGCATGTGTTCAGTTTTTTTGGTCACACATAGAATCAGAATGCTATTGAGTAAATATGTAAAAGCCTGTTATGACAAACTCCAAAGATCCATTCATAAGTTTGTCACAGAGTATGAGAATTTCTTATAGTTAGAATAATTCTTCAAACTTCAGGTGGGCTGCTCGTTGAGAAATCAGTATTAAAGAGTATGAAGAATTTTGTTAGGGTTGAATTTAAATAAAAAACCCACTTTTTTTTATTTTTTATTCATTTTTTGAGAGAAAGAGACACAACGTTTGAGTGGGGAAGAGGCAGAGACAGGGAGACACAGAATCCAAAGCAGGCTCCCGGCTCTGAGCTGTCAGCAGAGCCCGACACAGGGCTCGAACTCACAAACCGTGAGATCATGACCTGAGCCGAAGTTGGATGCTCAACCAACTGAGCCACCCAGGTGCCCCGAATAGAATTTTTTTTTTTTAATGTTATTTGAGAGAGAGAGAGAGAGAGAGAGAGAGAGAGAGAGAGAGAGAGGAAGGGGGAGGGAGAGGGAGGGAGGGAGGGACAGAGAGAGGGGAGATACAGAAACAGAAGCAGGCTCTAGGCTCCAAGCTGTCAGCACAGAGGCCGACATGGGGCTTGAACTCACAAACCATGAGATCATGACCTGAGCTGAAGCTGGATGCTTAACTTACTGAGCCACCCAGGTGCCCGCCTCATGGGTTGAATAAGTTTTAATGGGATTTGCCTTGTATACAATTAGTGCACAGCCATATTTCGATAAGTACACACAACTGATTGAATAAAGAACAGGTCAAAGTGGAATTATATTTAAGAAACAAGAAACATTTGAGAAAATTGAAATTTGCAGAAAAATTAGCTCAGAAAAAACTTGTATTACTTGGCTCTGACATTATTAGCAAATACCACCAAACTGAAATTCAGCATTTCTGTTTGTATGGTTTTAAAATATGACAGTATGAATTTCCCCTCATGTTCTCAAAGTTAAAAAAATTTTCTTTTACATTACTAGTAAGCATTTTATACCCCTTCATGCCTCTATTGTAAACATACAGTTTGGATGCTTAAATCACATTACTATTAGTTTTATGAACATTAAAAGAAATATAAATACACTCATAGTTCTAGAAGCTGTCTCATTATTTATATTAAATGAGATGATCCCTATACAAAGTCCTGTACAATGGCATTCTTAAAAAAAAATGGAAAATTACAACACTGAATTAATTTGTGGTATAATATTTTCAGTAAAATAAATTTTGATAAAAGTCAATCTGTGCATAAGCTTATAACAGATTTTGTTTATTGATAGAAGTTTCACTAATAATATGCCTTATAGTAAACTGAATCCTGAGAATGTTTGTAAATTTTTAGAAAAACATGCTACTGGCTTACCAAATTTAAGGCTATTTATTATATATAATCTTTTATTTCTTACTGAGCATTAGTGTTTGCAAGCAGGAAGCACTTGTCCCTACCTCCCCCAACCCAAGGTTTAGCTCTAGAAGCATACAGAAAAAGGAAATTCTGAGGTATATACATATCCTCACCTTGCAAAAGATATTCAGAACAAGTTTCTAAATAGCATCTCACATATGCAAAACTAAACAAGGGCAAACTTAACTGCCTGGCTGCCACACTGAGGCCTAAATGCTGAGTGTTGCTATTCATTTTGGAAAAGTATTCCGTGCAGAGCTGGGTTTGATGATGGTTGAATTTCTAAGATCAGGTCAACAGAAAAAGGAAATTTTGTTCAAGTACAGAAGGCTTTATTTTCAACTTCTTTTAAAATGGATTCTTCAGTCCTGCTGATATAAAAGTAGAACTAAGATAATTACAACTCTGTGAAGCAAAGCCTTACTGAAAGTTACCCGCAAGAGCAAAACAACATGAAATAGAGTTCTCTCCAAAGGCAACCTGGATTTTGCAGAAACATGTTAACAGGCTATTTTTTAGGTTTTTGAAATATGAATGGAAACTTATTTGGCCAGATATTAAAATGCATTCATGTCGTTCAATAAGAAGAGCACTGTGCAGCAGGTCCAAGGGTACGCTTATCAGTGGAACAGAATCCACATCTCTAAGCAGACCCTTGATGATACAGGAGTAGATTATATGACATAATTAATGGCTCTCACAAGAGAAGGGGCAGGGATAATCAGAGGGCGGCCAAAGATTCTGGTATTCAAGATGCGCTAGAATTGTCCAAAGTGGGGTTAAGAGGATTTCTGAAAAGCTTCCTGAGTGACTGTGATACACTTTCCTCCCTCAGGGAGAACCACTGCAAATAAAGGAAACATCACGAAGGGCACAGGGGAAGGAAGGGATGGGTTAATAAATAGTGCTGTGCTTATTTAAAATCAAAAGTCAGTTTACAGCCTCGCCTCATTCCACACCAAAAACTGTAAGTGGATTAGACTGTCAGATGTAAATAATGAAATCAATAAAAGATTTAAAAATATGTAAGTGACTAACTCATCTGTGGATGGGAAAGAACCTTCTATTAACAAAATGAGAAATAACTATAGGGAAAATGCACACTTCTAACAAATAACTCACTGGCTTTCTATTTTTTTGATCAAACCCCACAAACTAATATAAAAGCAAAAGCACAAAGTGGGAGAAATACTCACAACAGATGATGACATCTACTTAGGAGAGCCTCTTATGTCAGGCACCAACAGACAACACAACTTGCAAAGAAACTTCTATTTTTGATCAGAAGAAAGCATTCAAAACTCAGAATGTACCCTGAACTATCAACTGAGATAGAAACGAAGGCACACTCTCACGCTGGATGATGCAATGTCTTTTTTCATGGCTATATGGCCCAGTTGAGAACACACACCAGTAAATGGCTGTTGCAGTGCCTCAATGCAGTCTGGTTTGCAGATGAAGATATGAGGGGGCTGGCTGGCTGGTGGTAACAACAGATTCAGAGCTGGAAAGGAAGTGCTAGGTTTGTCCTAAACTTCTGCGATGCCTCTTATTTCCCCCCTCTCAAGTTCACATGCAAGAAAATGAGAAGCAAAGTAAGACATGTTTATGTGCCCTCTACTATGCTAAGTGCTGGACACACATTATCATCTTATCTCTACCGCAGTCATGTAAGTAAAACGGTCTTTGACATATGACGGGATGTTAGTTAGTAGACTTCTACTCCATAGACATGGTCTCTGCTAAGACAATGCTTTTTGTTTTCATTTCATTCTGCCCAAGCACAATGGCTAACTACTGAGATGTCTTAAAAAAACAAACCAACCATAAACTGGCAACATGTATTTGGGGCAAATAATTCTGTTTATCACTCATCAGAACTGTGTGATGTCAAAAGCCAAAATCTTAAAGACTGGTTTTCTAGCTATGGCACATTTGCACACTCTGTGAAAGCTCTGCCTGAAACATGGACAATAATCTAGTAAAAAAGCATAAAGTTTGGGGAAAATAATCGAATTTTAGACCATCTCACCCTTACT